CTAATTTCTGAAACTAAATAATAAAAAAGTGAATGTACACTGGTTTTGGTTAAGATCTTGGAGCAGTTTTCTGGACTATTTTCAGTTTCCACTCAGTTACCACTAATACGTAATTGGGAACATGCCATTACTTTGGTTCATGGTACAATCCCATTAATGTATGACCTTACCGCTATTTGCATGCTCAGATAGAGGAGATGGAGAATTTGGTTAAGCAGATGCTATTGGATGGGATAGTAAAGCAAAGCCACATTCCATACTCAAGCCATTTTTCTGCTAGTAAAGAAGAAATATGGGAAATGGAGATTTTGTGTACACTATCAAGCTCTTAATAGAGCAACAGTAGCAGATCATTTTTTCAATTCATGTAATTGATCAGCTCGTGGATGAACTATACGGAGCGACGATATTCTTAAAACTGGATTTGAGTTCAGGTTACCATCAAATTAGGATGGTGGAGAAAGATGTGGAGAAAACAGATTTTCAGACTCATGATGGTCATTAGGAATTTCTGGTAATGCCATTTGGCTTGACTAATACACCTGCTACGTTCCAAACTTTGATGAATGAGATATTCTGATCACACAAGTTTGTCTTAGTAATTTTTTTATGACATCCTAATATACAGTTCAGATATGGAGAGTCCTGAAGACATATTATAGTGGTTTTATCTCTGTTTGCAGAAACTTATTTGTTTCCTAATAAAAAATAAATATTCTTTTGGTTAGCGATAAGTAGAGTATCTTGGTCATGTGACTAAAGCAGATGGCGTCAAGACTGATAAGAGCAAGACCTTGTCGATGGAGCAGTGGTCAAGCCCAATGATTGTTAAAGATTTACGTGGGTTTCTGGGAATAGCGGGATATTATCAGAGATTTGTGAAAGGTTATGGAACAATTTCAAAATCATTAGCCATTCTGTTGAAGAAAGATCAGTTTGTGTGGTCCACAGAGGCTCAAATGGCATTTGATAAGCTGAAAGATGCAATGATTAATGCACCAGTTCTGACATTACCAGATTTTTGGAGCTGTTTATTGTGGAATATGATGCTTCTAGCTTTGGGTTAGCAGCAGTGTTGTTGAATCCAATTGCTTATTTCAGCTATGGCTTAACAGACAAAGAACAGCTAAAACCCAATTATAAAAGAGAGCTTATGGCGATTGTAATGGCTATTCAGAGATGGTGACACTATCTGTTATGGAATAAATTCATTGTGTGAACTGATCAAAAGAGTTTGAAGTTCTTACTGAAACAAGGAGAGATGAATTTAAAGTATTAAAAGTGGTTACATAAGCTGTTGGGGTATGATTTTGACATTGTGTTTAAACCAGGTGTGGAAAAGAAAGCTGCATATGGGTTGTCATGGATGATTCCATGAGCAACAACTTTGTTACTCACGTTGATGATACTTCAAACATTACAGTTACAAGATTTGTTGAAAAAGGTAGAGTCTTATGAATCTATCCAGTGACTCGTTCAGCAGGTGTTAGTTAACGAAGCAGTGAAACGAGGCTACACGGTGGTAAATGTTTGTTTGATGTATAAGCAGCCTTTGGTAATCCTCTTCGTAGGTATAGATGCCATTAATCTTAACAGGAATATTATAGTATGATGGAAGGACATTCATGTGTGTTAAAAACCTTAAAGTTGCATCCAAGCTTTCGTTTATTGGACATGGGTAAGGCAAATTGTTTAAATTTATATGGTTCAGTGTCATGTTTGTCAAGTGAGCAAATACTCCACCCTTTCTCCGGCTGGCTTGCTACAGCCTTTACCGATATCTGACCAAGTATGGGATGATGTATGGATTTCATTAAGGGCTTGCCTTAATCACAAGGAATGAACGTGATATTGGTTGCCGTGGATCGTCTATCCTAGTTTGCTCATTTATTTGGCTTACGGCATCCTTTCACGGCAGTTGATATTGAAACAAAATTCATCAAGGAGATCATCAGATTACATGGGATTCCTAAATTAATTATCTCTGATCGGGATCATGTACTTCACAGCTTCTTCTAGAATTAACTCTTCAAACAGATAGGCACACAGTTGAAGTTCAGAACAGCTTATCACCCTTGAATGGCCAAAGTAAGGTGCTCAATTGTTGTTTGGAGATTTATCTCTGTTGCTTTACATCCGCTCATCCTCGATGTTAGACTCATTTTCTGTGTTGAGCTTAGTTGTGGTATAACACCGCGTGCCATACCGCAATAAAGACATCCCCTTTTAAGGTGGTGCACGGCCGAGATCCTCCTAAATAAGGGAATTGGAGTCCTTGTTATGAAAAAGATACCGGACGTTGAATGACATCTAATCATAGTTGTGGAAGGCTCATGAATTGAAGAAGAATAACGCAGATAAGAGCATAAGAGATGTGGTTTCTGACGTCGATCGTTGGTCTTTCTTAAAATATGGCATTATGGACCTTTTCAAGTATTGGAACATATTGGAGCACAGCTGACTCTCGAACTTTTGTTTGTTCATGAGCTCGAACTCGCCATGTCAGATCTAGCTTCGTTCTTCTTCTTTGAAACGTATAGTCTCCACGGCTTCAAAGAAAGAAAAAAGACATTGAGAAGACTAAAGTGTTCGAAGAGGAGCTTTAGAGTATAAATAACAAGAAGGAATACTTCCATCGATTTGTAATTAGAATTCTCACTACAAGAATACACACCAGATCTGACAGAGATTTCTGTCGGAATTTTTCTGACGGATTTCACCGCTGGCTGTAAAATCGTCGGAAAAGCATATTCCGTCGAAATGCCGTCGGAAATTTTTGATGGATTAGTTCCGTCGGAAAGTTCCGACGGGATTCTGATGGACGATTTCTGATGGGATTATGACAGCTCTAACGGAATTTCGACGGGTGTTTTCTGACGGCAACTTCCAACAGACATTCCGACAGAATATGCTGTCGGACTAATGCCATCAGAAATCCATCGAAAATCTCCGACGGGCAACTGACGATAGCTAGCGTCGGAATATTTCCGATAAAAAATCTGAAAGGTTACACTTCCGACAGATTTCTGACAGAATATACAAAAATTAAATTAAAAAAATAAAATAAAAAACAAATTGAAAATAATATTAAAAATAAATCAAAATTAAAATTGTCAATAAAACGAAAATTAAAATTCAAATACAATATAAAATTTAAAGTTCTCATGAGAACTTTCTCGAGATCAATTCTTCTATTCAGTTAAATTGGTCGTCTTTTGCATTGAGTCTAGCCTTTAACTCTGCAACTTCTTGTTCCACTGAGATCTCCCGTTCCGAAGGTGGATTTTCCTATGAACATCCATACTTGTAAATTTTGGGAAGACATCCTAATCTGAATAACGGTTCTTGCTTTTTGGAATGTACTAAAACATAAAAAAAAATATTTACTAGAAACTACATAATATATTAAAGAAAGAAATAAATTAAAATCAAGTAATTACCTCTAAAACCATTGTGTCGACTTTTTTTTGAGGAAGGTCTTCGACGGGAGTTCCTTGCTGAGATAACTGTGCAACTCATTCTTCTTCTTTTTCTACGAACTTTATCAAAAAGGTCAATGGCAATTCTGTTTTGCAATTGCTTAGTTGTCTGGTTGGTGTAGATAACTTACACAAAATCATAGTAACCGACAGGGACACCATCATTTTCTTTCGCCTATATTAAAAATAAATAGTTAATAAAAAACTAAAACAATAAATAAGAAAAAATAATTATTCTATAAATCTTACTATTTTTGCTGCTCGCTGAACAAAACTTATAGCTCCCAAATTATACATTTGCTATCTCTTTACCATTTCGATTGCTCATTCGGTTCTTTGAATTTCTTTTCGAGAGTTCAGTCGCAGCCTCAGCCAAATAAATTTAGAAAGCTTTCCAACACGTATGGATCAACCATGTAAGATAATCAACGACACTATCTTCCCACTTTTGCTTTCATTCATTCATATGTTTTAAATAATAGAAAGCAACTTTAGCATGAAATTCGGATTTTACTTTAGAGGTGTGTACATGGTCCCAAAAGTAATGTTGTTACATATTAAAATGAAAAGGATTAGAAATTACTTATTTAAAAAGGTATGATATATTTAAAAAATTGTAATTCTGAGAGGAACAAGATCTTGAGAGAAAAATATGTTCCGAGTGTATTGTATTGTGGTTGATAAGTAATAATTAAATGAAGTTTGTTCTTATCAATTTTCTCACTTGTGGATAGCCATGCACCACTGATACAGCCACACATGAAACAGTCCGCATATCCTTATCCTTGTAATTAGCATAGTAGTGGTTATAGGAGGCCAGATTTATTTTATTTTATTATTATTTTTTTTTTGGCCAGATTTATTTAATATGAAGCACAATTTTTTTTATACTAGTTAATAAAAATAATTTATTAGAAATATAATACTAGTATCATAAAAAATCTATAATCAAATGAACATGAATAAATTAAATAAATAAATAAAATTATATGACAAAAAGATTTTTTTTTAAAAACCCTTATTGTTGGTTAGGTGGCTTAGAGACATAAGAAAAAAAAAACAATATATATAAAATCGTAGATAAGTTAAGTCAACATAATTTTATACTGTTTTAAATTTGGATTTTTGAATGGAATTTGAATTTTGATCCAAGATAAGCCAAATATACACTAATAGATTAATAAATCTTCTGTCTACAATTTAACTACTACCTTAAAAAAAATCAGCATGGGGCACGTGCCACCAAATTCTGTATGTGCGTCCGCCAGCCTATAGAGATCCTTGTAGAAACCGCATACCTTTTCATGGACTAGTTCTTTGCCGTAAAAGAACTTTTTGGTGCAACTCTCTCCAATATTCTGCATCGATAGTTACCAATAGGTAGAGTGCAGGCACGAAGAGCAAGCTATATGTCAATGGTCATACTGAGAGATGCAAAAACCCATATAAATAGTTATCGTTATCAAAATTGTAACGAGCATTCTTTAAAACTTAGCAATGCCATAGTTGGAACTTATCAACTCAATGTGGCAGAGCAGTCAAGCTTATGTTTCCCGCCGGAACGTTTTCAGAAGACTTAAGAAGTGTTCTCTCATTTTTCACGATTCTGCCATTCAATCAATTTGTTTAAAACCCTTTGATTTCCACATACATAACGTACTTGAACACAAACAAACCAAAGGACACCAAAACAACCTAAATGCAACTAATATTCACTAGACCACAAGATACAGTAATGAATTGTTTGTGCTTAAGGCCATGGATGAATATATTTTGTGTTACGAATACTTGTGAAGCGTGATGAGTGACCTTTGAAGGAGTCAAACAATCTTTTATTGCTGACGATGAGTGGAAATTTGATAATTGATAAACGTGTGTGATCTTTATAAAAATTATATCACACTTACTATCACTCAGGGTGTTATCTTCTTCAAATACAAAGCAAAAGATGGCAAAGTGGGAAAATGAGGAGTAATACAATCCACGGATGAATTGGTGTTTAAAGAGTTTCTACATAATCTGAAATTTCAAACACTAAGCAACTAAACAAAAAAAGGGAATCTTGACTTTGTCTTTGTATTTGCAGTACTTAAACGAGAAAGAGACTTTTGGTTACTTGACGTCGTCTTCATACTTGGAGTTAGCCTTCTTCTTCAGCTTCTTCATCTTCTTCTTCTTCTTCAGCTTCTTCTTCTTCTTCTTCTTCTTCTTCTTCTTCTTCTTCTTCTTCTTCTTCTTCCTCTTCTTCTTCGCCCTCTTCTTCTTCTTCTTCTAGCCGGTTGATGCAAATTTGCAAAGTCTTCAACATAGTCCAGTCACCCTGAAAATAGTAAGGAACTAACATAAAGTCCTTCTCAGGAGTATGGAAGCTCACTTTCTGAATCCTATTCATCTCCCCTGGTTCAAACTTCATAGTTTTACATCCCCTCGAATAGGACAGCTTATAGGAGAACTTCCCAACTCCTGGAGCAGAAGGTGCTATACAGTTGGCAGTCACATACACTCCTTGTGGCTCCTTGAAACTCTGGACCACAACCAACGGACCATCTCTATATTCCTGAAGAACTAAAATGCCACCGCTTACGCTCACACATGCACACTGGGAATGACCACACCAGAAACGATTCGATGAGCCCCTGTGGTTAGCATCGTAGTGACTGTAGAGGTCCTTGTACACGCCGCTGTAGTTGCAATTTTGTGCAGGACAGGAGCAGAGAGCGAAACCGCACTCCTTCTCATGGTCTAACTCTTTGCCATAAGAGAACTTCTCGGTGCAACCACGTTTAGCGTTTAAGCATGGGATGACGGTTGCTTCAACAACTCTTTCCATTATTCTGCATCTATAGTTACCTATGGGTAAAGCGCAGGCAGGGCACTTGTTCCTCAGTTTAGTGCAGCAAAAAGAGCAAGCTATATGTCCATTGTCACACTGAGATGTCAAAAAACCAACAAAAACAGTTCTTGTTACCAAATTTGTAACGAGTGTTATGGAGATAAGAAGCATAACAATGTATAATGCAACTTCTCAACTCAATGTGGCAGATCAGTAAAGATTAGACTTTGACATTTGAGAAATCAGATTTCTAGTTAATCAAACTAAAATCATTTGTAAGCTTATAAAACTCGTAACTAGGGACTCGTTTTCCATTCAATCAAATGAAACAATGTTCTATACATTTCAGTGAAACTTTTTTGTTATGAAATTCTCCTAAAATTCTTCTTTCTGGTTGATTCTCCTATGTTAAGTAAATGACTAAATGCTTCGTTGCCTTCGATTAACATATTCTTACTGAAATGTTTCCCCCTCAAAATCATCCGTACACATAAACCACAACAGTTTTTCGAAACTCTGATACAACCAGGAAGAAGAAGCAATGGCGAAGGTAGAAAAAGATAAGAAAACAAAACCTGAAAGATCGGAATCGTTAGTGCGTTGCAGCAAACGGGACAGTCGAGAAGATCTAGATCGAGCAGCGTCCCAGATCGCACCACCGTCATCTCCTCATCGCCGGCTATATTCTGATCTCCACTCGCCGTTCCTCCACCATTCCCGCCTCCTCCTTGTACAATGGAGGGAAGTCGTTGCCTCTTTCTCCGGCTGCTCGAGGCTTCTCCAGCGACGGCTTGCTGGTTAGCTTCCGTCTCTGTCACCACCTCTGTCGAAAATTGCGTCTCGATTTCGCTTCGCTATGTGAACAGAAAAATCTTTATATTTATAAATCACAAGTAAATTGTGAGATTGACAAGTGTCTTTTTTAATGTTTTAAACTATTTTATTTTTATTTTTTTTATCACAATAATTTATGTTTTTTTTTAAAAAAAATTTCACATTTACTGCATAACTATCCATGATTTTCAATTTAACTTCCCGTTTTTCACAGCATATCATCGCTACTCTCATCATATATATATACATATTATATATCAAAAATGTTTAACCTATATATTCTCTTAAGAATTTGCAAAAAAAAAACAGTTATTATAGGTATTCTATTAATTTTTTGATTTTTAAGTTTTAAACTAGATATTTGTATAATTATTTACAAAATAAAACAACTACCAGAAACACATCATTATGAAAATGGCAAGATGCAAATTTTATTATTCTTACAAAAATTTTCTAGGTTCTACTTAATGATAATAACATTTATAGATTAAATATATTGGAATGATATACATTTTTTCTTTTTCTGTGATTTATCTTTCTGAGTTTAAGAAAAGAAGTCAAAAGGATAAAATAATATGCAAAGTAGACATTTATTTTTAATTTTTTACTTATTATTTTTTAATAGATATTTTGTCATGAGAAAGTTAAGTAACAAACCAAAATCATTTAGTACATATTTAATTATCTATATACCAAACACTAAAATATATTATTATTATTATTATTCTATATTTAATTGATATTTATATATTTATTTAAACTAATTAATGAATATTTTTAAATTTATAAAACACATAAACTTACTACGATTGGATAAGTATGTTTACTTTGTCTTTCTATTATCCAATTCTCAAATTTAAGATATTTCAATAGTAAAAATGTTAAACTGTTTTAATTTCAAACATGTTATCTTTTATCAATTTTATAAATAAAAGAGTTATTACTTAAATACCATATCAAACTATTTTGATTTTAAACTTATTATCTTTTATGTTAATTTTATCTAAATTTTATTAATTAAATACCAGGCAAAATTCTAGTAGGTCAATAAAACCTAAATCCTCCTTTTTATTTTCCCGCCGGTGTTTGCCATTTAGCAGTCTAAAATACAACTCATGATTTTCTACGGAATATGCAAATTAAAATATATTTAACCCCAATTGATTAAGAAAAGAGATAGTTAAACTATTATAAGAGAGGAAACGCTCCCAGGCATGGGTCCCCATGCGCTGACCTTAGGCTTCGGCTGTGGGGCTCAAAGAACACCTACCAACACTCCTTTCCCGGAATGGAAGAGTTAGGCATGCTTCCACCTCTCTGACAGTCTCCCATGTACCTGACCAAGCCCCTTTTAGCAAGTCACAGATACCACTCCTCTCCCTCCTATGCAACTTTTGAATTTTCAAAGACTACTCCGGCAACTCCTCACTAACACTGAAGCCTCCTAACTGACCGTTGTAACCGGACGTTTCAACCTCTTGGCCAAGACACTTCTTAATTCTTCATACTACCGAGTGCAGAAGTCATAGTAATAAATCAAAATTAATCAAACACCATTAACAACCGTGTTTATCATTTACCTCCTGTGTGAGGACAGTCGCAGTACTTTCAAGATCTCTCTGTGCAGCTCCCACACATAGAGAACAAAATCCTGATGATGTCTCGCCACTACTCTAAAGCTGAAAAAGAAAAATGGGTGGCAGAAACTGAAAGACCGGGAAAAAAAAAGACCAATCCAAATACCTCACACTAACAATGAGGAGCTTATAGCAGAAAACTCACTCACACTCATCGGAAGGGTCACGAACCCGGCAACTCAGAAACCACAATGGGTGGTGGATTGGCTAATCCAGTACTGGAACTTGGACAGCCCTGTATCTGGTAGAGATCTGGGCCCGGAACTCTTTCAAGTCCGCTTTGAAACGGAGGAAGCCCTACAAACAGTCCTCCGGAAAGCTCCTTACCACTACAAACGGTGGATGCTTATTCTACAAAGGTGGGAACCAATCATATCCAACTCTTTCCCAAACCTTATCCCTTTTTGGATAAAAATACACGGAGTCCTCCTTCACTATTGGTCTGATACGACTTTTCAAGCCAGCGGTAAATCTCTTGGCCCTCTAGTGGAAAAAGATGTCCCAAACGGAAGGATCAGAATCAACATAAACGGTCTCCAGCCCCATCCAACTGCCGTCAAGGGAAACTATCTCAGTGACACTAGAATACGAAAAGCTCGAAAAACACTGCTTTCTCTGCTACTCCCTCAACCATGAAGAAACCTCTTGCCCCCTCCAACCCTCCAAAACGGTGGACACGCTGATACCTCCAGGGCTAAACCAACGCAATACTCTGCAAAAACTAGAAGACAAGAGAGCCAGTCAAGCTCAACTTCGACCACCACACAACTCACGTCTAGAAGAGCAAAGCTACCAATCTCGGAGAGAACGGGAAGATAACCACCTCTCGGCACACTCTCGACTATCAACCCAGGACCGAACTCACCGTAGCTCCTAGGACAGATCCCTCAGAAGTGATTTCCGAGTCTCACCCCGAAGGGCCCCATCTGGTGGCTCCTCTAGGCCCCACTTGGAGAGGCGCTCTTCCCGGAGCCATTACCCTAACTCCAAGACCTCTCACCACACCAGTAGGGACTTACGAAACTCCTCACCGTTAAGAAACCTCTGGGAAAACCATCGTCCGCCTCTCAGGAACTCTCCCTCACGCTCTCATCACTCTCACCACTCCCACCATTCCAATCAATCCTAGTCATTAAGAACTCTTCCACCAAACCCCCAAAGAGAACCAATGCTTCTCCCTCGAATAGCAGAAAGAGAGGAGAGCATCGTTACCCCGAATGAGAGGATATTGGCTCTGGAAAGACTAGAACCCTCACCACCAGAGATCAGAAGATCTTCAGGCCTCTCCAGCTCCCTCCTAGCAAGACTACAAGATGTAGATGTTAGATACGAAGAAGACAACCTGCAAGAAATTTACATCAGTGACGGTTCGCGGAGGAAAAACTTACTTATCCCTGAACCTGACACGAGCATGTTAAACAACCCTGCCCCAGACCTGGCAGCTCGGACCCCAGCTACCCTGCATCTGGTTGAACCCTCAAGAGAACCCTCGGGTGCACGGAAAAGGAGAGCTACAGCTAAAGGACAGAGCTACAAAGCAGTGATCACCACGCAAAAGTCTGCAGGAAGAAAGAAAACCTCAAAATCTCGTACTTCTGGAAGTCCTATAATAGGTATGAGCTCTAAGAAACGCATGGTAACGAGATCAAATAACCCTCCGAGAAAGAAGCTTTGTGGAGATAAGAGGACAAAAGGTTTACTTGGCAGTAAGGACCCTACACCTGCAATGGTGCTGATCCCAGCAACTACAAAAGGGAGAGTGGATTTTCGGGTCCCTCCGAACCCGATTCCTTAGCAATTTTGTGCTGGAACTGTCAGGGGTTGGGAAGTGACCTGACAGTCCACAGAATCCGGGAATTAAAAAGAGTCCAAAACCCGGATATCATCTTTCTCATGGAGACAAAGAATAAGGATGAGTTTGTGCTTACCTCACTTCAGCCACTAGGATACGAGCACCACCACATAGTCACCCCGGATGGCATGAGTGGAGGACTGGTATTACTCTGGAAAGACTCACTCAAACTGGATATTCTTGAGAGCTCTCCAAACCTAATTGACACAAGCATAACAAGTCAAGCGACAACCTTCCATGTTTCTTTCATCTATGGAATCCCTCAACAAGAAGGTAGAGCACAATTTTGGGATCACCTTACCTCAGTAGGGGCTGCTCGAGATTCCGCGTGGCTTCTATCAGGCGACTTCAACGACATACTAGACAATGAGGAAAAAATGGGAGGACCTAGCAGATGCGAAGGCTCCTTCATCCTGTTCCGGAGCTTCGTCTCGATAAATGGCCTCTGGGACCTAAATCACTCTGGTAACTCACTCTCTTGGAGAGGGATTCGATACTCTCACTTCATACGGGCTCGCCTGGATAGAGCAATGGCCAACTATGCCTGGTCTGAGATGTTCCCTTCAGGCAGAAACCATTACCTCCGCTTTGAAGGCTCGGACCACAGACCAATAATTACCTACCTTGATACAAATAAAGTAAAGAAGAAGCGCCCCTTCCGGTACGATAGAAGCCTCAAGGATAACGCAGAAGCCAGGAAAGTCATTGAAGAAGCATGGAAAAAAGACACCCCCGAGTTAGTGGAAAAGAAGATCAACAGATGCAGGCAGGAACTTATTAAATGGTCAAAGGCACAAAAAGCGAATAGCGCAAGACCAATTATTACCTCTCAGGAAGCCTTGGAAATTGCCCTTTCAGCGGATCCTCCGGACCCAACACTAATCTCTGAACTCTCTAACACTCTAAAGCAGGCCTACAAAGCTGAAGAGCTCTACTGGAGACAGAGAAGTCGAGTCCTGTGGCTAAAAGAAGGGGACCGCAACTCAGCTTATTTTCATGCGATAACAAAAGGGAGAAGAGCTGTAAACAGGCTCACAAGTATTGAGAATGAAGCAGGAGTGGCTTACCATGAGGAAGAGCAAATAGGAAGGGTTTTTGAGGAGTACTTTCAAAGCATCTTCACCTCCAATGAGATCCAAGACCTCTCCCTAGTGGATAAAACACTCACTTGCCTCGTCTCTAAGGAAATGAATATGCATCTCTGCAGTACCCCATCAGATGGGGAAATCCACAAGGCAATCTTCGACACCAATGCAGATAAAGCCCCAAGACCTGATGGCTTCTCGGCTGGTTTCTACCACTCGTTCTGGAGGACTATAGGCCCAGACATCTGCCGTGAAATCCGGTCCTTCTTCACCACTGCAAAAATGGATAAAAAACTTAATGAGACACATATTTGCCTCATCCCAAAAGGAGGTGCTCCAAAGAAGGCAGCTGATTATTGACCTATAACTTTGTGTAATGTACGCTACAAAATTATTGCAAAGATACTTACACATCGACTCCAGGGCTACTTAGACATCCTCATCTCCCAACACCAATCTGCTTTTGTCCCTGGAAGAGCAATTACAGACAATGTACTCATCACTCAAGAAACTCTCCATCATCTCAATACCTCCGGGGCAACAAAGAGATGCTCAATGGTGGTTAAGACCGACATGAGTAAGGCGTATGATATGATAGAATGGGCCTTCCTACAAAGAGTTCTCCAAAGACTCGGCTTTGCTCCTCTCTGGATAAAGTGGATAACAGAATGCGTCACCAGTGTCTCCTACTCTTTCCTCATCAATGGCACTCCGCAGGGAGCGGTACACCCGAAACGAGGACTACGGCAGGGAGACCCACTCTCCCCTACCTCTTCATTCTGTGTACAGAGGTTCTCACGGGTCTCTGCAAGAAAGCTCAGATATCGAGAAGCTTAAAGGGCTTGCAAGTGGCCCGGGGAAGCCCCCACATAAATCACCTCCTCTTCGCAGATGACAGAGTCTTCTTCTGCAAAACAAACAAAGCAAGTTGTCAGGAACTCAGTAATATTCTAAAGCGCTACGAAGAGAGCTCAGGACAATGCATCAACCTCAACAAATCAACAATCACTTTCTCAAATAAAACTCCCTTGGACATCAGAGACAGAGTTAAAGCTTCTCTAGGAATTATAAAAGAAGGGGGAGTGCGAAAGTATCTTGGCTTACCTAAAACCTTCGGAAGGAAGAAGAAAGACATCTTCACGGGACTAGTAGATAGAATTAAGCAACGCTCACACAGCTGGCCTACAAAGTTTCTCTCGGGGGCTGGCAAACAAGTCCTCCTTCAATCGGTTCTATCTTCTATACCCACGTACTCGATGGCCTGCTTCAAACTCTCTATCTCCCTGTGTAAGCGCATCCAATCAGTTCTCCTCAGGTTCTGGTGGGACAGCGCTCCTGACAAGTGCAAGATAGCTTGGGTGGCTCGCTTCTGGCTCAAGTCCTCAAAGGAAAGTACTTCCCCCATTGCTCCTTCTTGGAGAGCTCCACAAAACAAAGTGCTTCCCACGGTTGGCAAGGAATCTTAGCGGGCAAGAGAGTTCTGGAAAAGGGCCTGGGCTATTTGGTGGGTAATGGCGAAGGGATCAAGGTCTAGACAGACCCATGGCTCTCTACTTCAAGCCCAATGACACCAGTCGGTTCCCCAAACTTCGACTCCTCTCATCTAAAGGTTTCTGATCTCCTCGACCCCCGCTCCAACGACTGGAACCTCCAAGCAATTAGAGAACTTTTACCTCAGTATGAGGATATAATTCGCCAACTAATTCCATGTTCCCTGAAACCAGCTGATGAAAAGGTTTGGCTCCTCGAAAAGCTGGCGTTTACTCCACCAAATCTGGATACAGAATACTCACGCAGAGTCTAGATACCAGACCTTCCCACACTTTTGACTGGATGCGACACGTCTGGAAAGTCCAAACTTCACCGAAGCTGAAGCATTTCCTCTGGAGAGCCTTAAACCAAGCGTTGCCAGTGGGAGATTTGCTAACCATGCGAGGGGTATCAACTGACCTCCATTGCAGAAGATGTGGACAAGCTGAGTCAATCTGCCACATTCTCTAGTCTTACTCTTTTGCCAAGCAGGTCTGGAAATTGGCACCAGTCTTCAATGGGCCGAATGTATAGCAAGTGCCGGCGGATGTAAAACACCTATTAATCAGTGTGGACCATTGCCGTAACCTTCCTCCCTCAGGCCTAACAAACTCTCCTCTAGCCCCCTGGATTTTCTGGCATCTATGGGAAACAAAAAATCAGTTTCTCTTTGAGAATAAATCCTTCTCTGAAAAGGAAATCCTCTCAATAGCAATCTCAAATGCGAAACAGTGGGAAGCAGCACAAGCCATACCTGAACCCCAAAGGACTTGCGAGGCTCTCCAGCACCTGCTTGAAGTAGCAGACGCAATGATCTGCCTAACTGATAGTGCATAGAAGGAGGAAACAAAGTGTGGCGGCATGGGATGGAAAATTAGTTCAGCTAGTGGATCAAGCTTACTCCAGGGCTCAGAACATAGAGATTTTGTGGGCTCTGCCCTAATCGCTGAAGCTCTTGCCATTAAGCTGGCCTTCAAGAAAGCCAGTGAAGCCAACTTCCGGCACCTCCAGATTAAATCGGACTCTCTTGTCCTCATCAATGCCCTGCGATCAGGAACAAAGGTGATTGAGATAGCAGGAATTCTCCACGACATCAAATCTCTATCTACTCTCTTCACCTCCTTATCCTTTTTTTTTTATTTCTCGCTCTACAAATTTAGCTGCAGATAATTTAGCCAAATCAAGCCTTGCATTTTGCCTTTTGGGCCTCTCTATACCAAATTAAATTAGTAATCAAGCCCATTTCCTTGACCCAAAAAAATATATATATATATATATATATATTTAACCCATAAAAGTGGTAATTTGATTCAATCTGTGACCTTAATGTCTTAATGTCGCACTCAGTTGATTGACTAAGATTGACTAATACATAAATAAGCTGAAAATTCAAAATTCAAAAACTGTATACGCAACAAACAAACAAAAAACACTACACGAGACTGCAAACAAAACACACATGCCATGCCATACTCTGATGATTAAATGTTGGATCTTCTTCAGTTTATGATCCAAATGACCTAATAACTTCTAGAAACTGAGCGAAATGTCTTCGTCTTAGATATGAACATACTTAAATTCACTACCAATACAAATCTGCATCTTCATGTGATCACCACTCAACATATAAGAAGGAATCAACATGAAGTCATCTTTAGGCTCTTGTTGCTCTTCCACTTTCTGAATCTTCTTCACCATCAGTCCCAGTTTCAGCGTAGTATACGCATTGAGTTTCGCTAAACTGCACGAGAGTTCGTGTACTTCCCGCGCCATAGGAGCGATACAGCTCACGGTCATATACACGCCGTGCGAACCTTTCAAAGCCTGAACCACAACAAGATCACCTTCTTTCTCTTCCTGAAAGACAGTCATCTTCCTCTTACAGAGATTCATGCTAAAGATCTGAGGAGCATCGAACACAAACGGGATGAGATTCTCCGCGTCCCACGAGTGCGAAGAACGAGCGTGTTGCTTAAGATCGGAGTAGGAGCCAGTGTAGTTGCAGTGTGACAAAGGGCAGGTGCAGCGGATGAATACACAGCGCTTCTCGTGGCTCGATTGGTCTCCGTACGATATGGTTTCTCTGCACCCGTACACTGCGTTTCGACACGGGACTATGGATGCTTCGAGCACTTTCTCCATTGCTCTGCATCGGATGTCGCCGATGTGTGATCTGCAGAATGGGCATTTCCTCTTCAATTTCTTGCAGCACGACGAACAAGCTATATGGCCATTAGTACACTGAAACACAAATGAACACCACAAGAGTTAGCTACAATCCATCGATTTCTCTACTCTGTAGCCAAATCAAACTTAGACTTAGGCTTCTTCTTCATCAAAAAGGTCATCAACAAATTATAAATGAGACTATGTGACCACCTATGACTTAGCCTGATATGTTATTATCTGCAATTTCATTCTACATAGCTAATAAACACCAAAGAGTTAGCTACCGTCTACTGATTTTTCCATTTTCTAGTGATACTCATTGATCCGAGAACACAATTTTGTTGCCAAAATCAAACTATTATAGGCTTAGAAAACTTAAAATTTGGAGATTCTTCTTCATCAACACTCATAGATGAGGAGGCTGTGTGACCTATGATTTAGGTAATGCAATCATTTAAAGTGTGAAAAGGTAAAACCATCCATGAATTGGTAATACATTACGAGAATTGTAAAACCATCTTGTTCATCAACAATCATAGATGATGCAGTGTAACCTATGATTTAGCTAATGCAAATCTTATAAAGTGTGAAAAAGGTAAAACCATCCATGAATTGAGAATACATTACGAGAATTGTGTGAATAGAATAAGAAGGATAATACATTACGAGAATTGTAAAACCATATTTCTTCATCAAGAATCATAGATTAGTCTGTGTGCCATATGACTTAGCTAATGCAATCTTTGTAGCCAAATCAAACTATCATAGGCTTATGAGACGAAAATAATAAGGTCATAAACAATTAAAGATGAGGCTGTGTGACCTATGACATAGCCGCAAAATGCTCATAACTATCCATGAATTGACATTATACATTACGAGAATTGTTGAATCGAAGACGAACGAGAGTGACCTGATAAATTGGTTTCTTCAATGGCTCTGTAGCCAGATGAAACTATTGTATGCTTATAAAACTTAGATTCGAGATTCATATTCATCAAAAATGTTCTATGTGTGACCTATGATTTAGCCGGAAATGTATGTTCGTATCTGCAATTTCATCCTACATAGCTAATAATGCAATTCCAAGAACTGATATTACAATTACGAGAATTGCGAATCGGAGGAGAAGGAGGGTATAACCTGATAAATCGGTTTCTTCAATGGCTCGCAGCAAGTAGGACAATCGAGAACTTCGGAGCATTTCAGCTTTACGGATTGTTGCGATGAAGATCCACTCGGGCTGCTGCTTACAGATCTTCGAGATTGTGCCTCCGTTATCACATCCTCGGAATCGTTACCAATAGTCGCCATTCTCGTTCCACCAACGTCATCGTTGATTTCAACATCTTCATTTTCTTCTTCCCCTATCTCCTCCTCCTCCTCGTCGTCTTCGTCGTCGTCTTCTTCTTCTTCCCCGTCGATAATTGCGGTGTTGTAATCCTCGTCGTCGTCTTCTTCTTCTTCATGTTCATCTTCCTCGACAGGAGGAAACCGTGGTCTCTTCAGGAAACGAATGACGTCGGTGTCTATCGGCGGAATCGACATCGCAAAATCCTCTCCGAATGCCGATCTTGTGTCTCTGTGTTCACTGACTGCTGAGATAACCCTCGCTGGGTGAAATGAAATCTCAAATCACTGTTTTCTTTGGGGAAATACCAATGAATGGATAAATTAATATTAGCAGCCACTGTCATTTTCTCTCAATTACTATTCAGTTTATAGTTTATAAAATCTTTACTACCTTTATTTTCTTAACTTTTACTAATTAGATTAGGAATAAAATCCCAGCTGCGCAGGAATACTTAATTATTATATATCAAAATTTTAAAATATATTTTAAAATTATTATAACAAAAATACATATAAAAAATATCATATAAATATATAAATATTCTAAAAAATATATGTAAAACTAATTATGATATAAATATACAGTATTTTCAAATAATTTTTAAATTTTTTAATAATAATAAAAATAAAATAAAAATAAAAGTTATAACATATATAATTCTCTAATTTATTTGTAAGATTATTAAATATGAGTCTTCGTGAAAAGGTATTAAGCAAAAAATATAGAAAATAGGCAAATTTTCTAAATATTTTCTAGAATTCCTGTGATAACTCAAATTTGATATATGGAAAGAACAAGAATCAGTGGGTTTAAAGAGAAATATTTATTAAGAATATGTCGGAGCTCGAGAAATACACGATGATTTTAAGTCATCAGAATAAGAACGCCGACCTAAAATATGAATGAAAGCTTGAGAACTGAGAACAATAAGTTTGCTAGTTTGCCATAGGTCTTGAGAGAGGATTTTTGGATGAATAGAGAAGCTAATAGCTTCTATATTTATACCCGATTAGATCGGTCTTTTGGAGAAAAATCCGTCTATCTGAAATAAGAAAACTTCATTGCCGATAAGACCAATCTTCCGACTTTTCCGGTTTTAGTCGAGAATTTCCATTTATGCGGCCGACCTAAATATTCTTATGGGTTTTTTAAATGGGCTGATCTCAATTGATGTCGGGCTTTTAGAGAAGGTATTGATCCCATCTCTAACAGTAAGCCCCCCCAGTTCAGCAAGTGAAGGTGCATTACTTGGTGAATTTTAAAAGAGTGGCTCGACATAAAATAGGGTCGGCCACTGCACACGTTAAAAGTTAAAACACAATTTTACCTTGAGTTTTAGATCGGCAATCTGATATTGATCAGATTGATAATTAGGCGCCAAAAGTTCCCGCCTTCGTAGGCTAGGTCTGCGCATGCAGAACTAAACGTGTCAAGTGATAAAAGAGGGAAACAAAGAGGCTGATTAAATAAAAATAACAAAAATGCGAACAGTCGCCGAAGTCATGATGACTCATTTCAGTATAAATAAGAGATGCTTGACCCATTTTCTTCACTTCTGCAATTAGCGAAAAATCTGTCAAAAGGTTTGCTCTCTTCATCTATTCTCTTTGTTCTTTATTTTTTTTTCCATCAACCCTCCGCCGCATTTCATTCAACCTCTGCCGTGAGATTTCGCCAATCTACTTTGAAGCCACCGTAAAAGTTTGATTAAGCATGAGCAAGAATTTGAAGATTAGGAAAGTCGGCCTGATTCAAGGAAGAGCAGGTCGGATCAGAAAAAAGTAGATGAGATCAGCGTTCCCTTGGGAGAATTTTTAGAGATGTCTCGAGCTGACGAGCTGGTCAGATGCCGATCTAAAGGAAAAGGGATCGCCGTTATTCAGTTGTCATCAGATCGGTCCTCAGATACGGGTGATCTGTCCGTGTTAGATCGGGCCTTCCAAGAACAGGTCAGAGAGAAAAATCAGCAAGCATCATCTGATCGAATTTACGCCGATCAGGTCAGGGCTATTCTTAGATACGGAGAGACATCTTCAAGGGTGGAATTATAGATTCCTGAGTTGTGTGATGAATCCGATGAACGAGGGGGATCGAATGAGATGGATATCTCGGACGAATTGAATGCAGTCATTGTTGAAGATGAAGTCAATCAGTTCGGCGTAATAGATATGAACCCTCCTATGAAGAAGGCTAAGGGAAGGAAAAGAGAAAAGGTGGTCAGGTTGACCTGCGATAACGCCCTCCGAGTTATGTCGACCAAGTCAACCATGGAGTCGTTGTTTCTCTAAAGGAAGAATGCGACATCGGCCCTAAAGTAATATTCATGGTCCCAAGCCCGTCATAGCGGCCTTGTGATGTGCCAAAGGGGTGGTTTTGCATCTATGAGTGCTTCTTCAGGGATTTCCACCTCTGGTTCCCTATTCCAAGATTGCTGCTGGAGTTTGCTGACCACAAAGAGATGCCGATCTGTCAATTTTCTCATGCCACAATACGTCTGATCGTCAGCATGCTGGTGATGTCAATTAAGCATGACATCCCACTGAGCCAAGCTGCATTCAATGCAATGACAAAAACCTGACGAACAAAGGCAAAACTGAGGAACCAGGGTTTGTATTACACGAGTATGAAGACGAGATTCAACGTCGTCATGGGTGGACATAAATCCAAGATTGCAGATTGGCGGGATCAGTATTTCTTCGTTCTGATAAATGAATTTGCCATCGCCGATCAGGACATCCTGATTCAAACAAAATTGGTCGAGGTCATGCATGGGTAGAGATTTGACCGATATGAAATCTGATGTAAGTTCGATATTCTTGTTGCTGATCGACATGTCTTTTATCTTTACAGGTAACATGCATCTCCCCATGGTAGACGACCCGCTCGATATATACGAGATCTCTGAACAGTTTGCGACAATCAGGGCAATCACGTGGCCATAGATCACAGTAGAGAGGATCACAAGAACAAGAGGTTAGTCTGGTTCATTAGCCGAGCTAAATGCTGATGTATATGGTCGGCTAATGTTACTCTTTTGTTTTTCAGCTGTCCTTAGACGATATTCAGGCCGACATGAGAAGATGAAATCTCGCTCATTCAAGGATTTGTCAGCCGACCTGGCGTCTGCCTTTGGGTCCCCAGCCGTTCGGGAGTCTGAAAATTCTATACAGATATGGTTATCAGAAGGACATAAAGTATCCGAGGTCTCAAAAGACTTAGCCAAAAATAATTAGACTAAGGCCAAGAAAGCAGCCGATAAGAAGGCTAGAAAAGCAGCTGAGAAGAAAGCTGCCAAAGAAGTGGAAAAATCTCGGAAGAAGGCCAAACTGGAGGAGCGCAATATAGAGGATGAGCAGGATGGAGGGGTCGAGGAAAACGACGACACCCGGGAAGATGACACTGCTAAACTGAATAAGAGGGGCACGGAAGGGCTGTCGGAGGAATCACGAGGATCAAAGAGGTCTCGTGTCGAGAAGGCGCTTCACCCGTTAAGATTCTTGTACGAGTATCGCAGAGATGTCGGATGGTGAATGACTCAATGTCCTGCCTCGACTATTTTCTCCGACTGAGGGATCACCCAACTCTTCCTCCCATAGATCCCTACGGCTTAATTCGCAGCGAAGCGATTGCGTGCTTCACAACCGATTAGGCCAAGATAAATAAATATCTTGAATGCTTCCTTTCTCCCATCCTTGGTATACCAAAATGATTTTGAAGATGAACCTTGTTTCCGTGCAGGTCCTTGGCACCACGCTGACTGTGATGTGCAAGTATGATCGCGATGCTAAGAAGTGTTTGGCCGATCATGCTGAGAGAGAGGCTGTCAAAGATGCTCTCGAAGCTGAAAAGAAAAGAAGTGCAGAGCTGGAAGCTGCACTGCAGGCATCCTTAGAGGATCTCACAAAGGCCCGTGCTAATAATGCTGAGAAGAACAAGCTTCTTGGCCGAGCCGTGAAGCAGATCACGAAGGAACGAGCTGCTGCGAAGAAAAAACTTGAGGCCGAGCTGAATGCAGCCAATGAGGAAAAGGTTGCTTGGGGAGAAGAGGTTGCCAAGCGAACGACTACAAAGGTTAACGACCATTACGCCGGTGATATATCTTGGGTTTTATAGTTTTTAACCATGATATAAGTCCTTTTTATTGAGTCTTTTTGGTTTTTTTAGAGTCCTAGTAGAGTCTTTGCAGGTTATAACATGTCTGGAGCATAATTGGCTATATTAAAGCTTTTTGGAGCATTGCAAGTTGAAGCCACGAAGTGCCTAGCTCGGAGAAGAAAGTATGCGTTTTGGTGACGCTCGTCACCCACCAAGGAAGGAGCGTGGCTTGTTTGTTGAAAGTATGAAGATTATTTGCAGAATTGGCCCAGAAGTTCTAATATTTGCAAGAAGGACCCAGATCGTGTTTAGCCTCTATTTATTAGGTTTTTCAGCCATTGTTGGTTTTTATCTAAGATTTTAGAATTCAGAGAGTTAAAAGGAGAGATTTATTCAAAGCTTTTTGGAGAGACAGATTCTGTACTCTTTTGAGAAGATTTCAGACCCCCTTATTTTTTTACTCTTTCCCTTAATGCAATTTTATTCAGTTATATTTTGTGATTCCATAATCATGTATGAGTAATCTGCTAGTTAAGTTAGGGTTTTTTCAAGGGTTGATGAAGAGATTGTAGAATCGCTACCTGTTAGGAATATCTTTTGGTTTTTCATCTCTGCTTGCTTTAAAATCGAATTTCTTAGAAACTTCATCTAGAAATCCAAAAATCATAGGTTGTTAAATTTATGTGAGAGCATTATTGATAACCTGAACTAGTATTTGATGAGCAAAACAACTTAGTGCAAATTAGAAGTTTTGTGAACAATTGAATCTGATCATTACTGCATGTTTAGATTGTTAGGGTTTGCAAAGAGATTTGAAACTCTGTGATTTAGACATAGTTAACTTCTGCAATAAGAATTTATTAGTTATATATTTGCAACTCATGTTCAAAATGGTTCTTAACCATTCCCGATTTCATGCATTCTACATTCTTGGATTCAACTTGCGAACTGTTCTGACTTAGCGCTTTTAGTCTTCTGAAACTTAGATCAAACAATAAATTCACTTGCTACTTTTATTTTATCATTCACATTACATACATTACATTCTGTTTAGCTTAATCCAAACCTACATTCGATAGTGTAGTCTGCATTACTCCTT